TGTGCACAAAACCAGGCAAAAACAATTGAAACATAAGTTCCATGTACTTCCATCTAGCTTGACCAATATTTCAAAAAATTCCCCAAAAATTTCCCCAAAAAATGCGATTCCCCAGATCGCTCCCCAAAAATCCGCCAATTTCCCCGTTTTGGGGAAATTTCCCCAAAAGTGAGAGCCCTGATAACGACCGCATATTTGATAAAAACATATTTATTTTTTATGGCAAGATATATTACACCTAAGACTGTTCTAAAAGTTTTTACTTTAAGTATTCTTGATAAGCTTTCTTTCTTATGTCTTTGAGGTTTGCTAAATAATGCTGCAGCAATCAACTTGACCCAATACCACAAATAGTTCAAGATACATTGTAGTTCATGACTCTCATATTGTGATGCAAATTGGTCGCGTTACTGTCACATTTGGCCAGTCTTGCCCAGCAAAGTGACGCCACAGTTTTGCATACTAATTACTTCCGACACCAAATTAGACTTGCATACTAATTACTTCCGCCGCTAGAGCTCATGCTTAATGAACAAGGTGACGTCATAGATTTGCATACTAATTACTTCCGCCGCCATATGGCTGTCTCCATTCTATAGCCTATATAGAATTATTATGCATGCATTTACACTCCAATTCAAAGATTCGAGTGTTGCGCTTGTTTTTACAATTGATATTTTACCAATAAAAGTTTATAATTATATTCTCAGTTGGCTTAGAGATCCGTAAGCCTCTGACTGTTAATGAATATGATGAAAGTTCATTTATTAACGAAACCATTTCAGCTTTGTATGAACTGTATAGCAGTGTAGAGATTGACTTGCCCATTGTCACATGGACTCAACAGACTTTTCAGAAAATATGTTTCATTTCATGCAGGTCTTCATAAAGAATATTCACATACGATACGAAGACAAGGTGAGGATTGTGTTTGTGTTTTGACTTCTATTTTTTCTGTAATTTATATCCTCCAATATTTGGAATCACATATTCCCATGCACGTTTAGTATTATTGCATGAAACGTATTTGACTCATATGTTTGCATTATTTAGCTTAATTACCTTTCACTTTTTCCAGGTTACAACTCCTGGCACCTCGTTTGCCGTTGGAATTACATTGAAACACTTTACAGCGGAGGTAATGCATGATGCTATTGAAACTACAGTATTACATAAACATGCTGGCATCCGCACCAAAGGTTCAGAATATCTTGGTCGATTCTGATCGGTGTAATAATGTTGCATTCCCTGTAACAAGTGAAATGGTCTGGCGACGTATCGTTAGACAGAGTAAAATAAGTAGCAAGTGTTATATAGTGTGCATTGCATGCAGCCTGATGGCATAACACTCAATTTGTTTTCATTTTAAATGAAGTTCGTAAGAGTTCATGCATCATTTTCGTTTAGACTACGGATGAATTTTGGAAACCATGTGTTGTCGATGCAACTGAGAAGAACATTTTTAAAGTAAGTTATATAAAGTATCTTATAAACGGTCTGTGCCAGTGATTGTAGGTAGCGCCAATAATAAGAAAGCTTCGGATTGGTAGGGATTATAACTACCTGAAAAAAAACGAGGAGAACTTCGACGTTTAGAGTGAAGCTTTTGTATACTGTGTCCCAAAATTATGTTTTTTTATTGTATCTATTACTAGGGTATTTCCTGGAATATGGCTTTTTAAACCGTTTGTAATTAATGTGTGCGGGTAGTACCGATAGTACGCGAATGAAGGACGAGAGGCTTTGGAACACAATCATATAGTAGCTGTTTCCTTATACTTATAAGTATTTTTCGTTTCTGTAGCTTGTCAGTCTAGATTCTCTCGCAGTGTATTGGAACACAGATATAAGCTCGAGACAATATGGCGGATCTAAAGATTGGCAAGTAAGTAGTAGTAACATTCAACACTTTCCCCTTGACTTGTATCCATGCAAGTAATTGCAAAATTAAATATACCTGTCAATGTATATTTTCTTCAAGTATTAATAGTGTATAGGCCTATAAGCTGAATATGTAGGAGTATCAGATTAAAGATTAAAGGGTTTTAGGATTCAAGTCGTTGATATAGCGTTTCTGTAGGGTGTTGCACAATTCTATAACTGTGAGACTGTTAATTAATTTTTCTTTAAGAAAAATAGCGGAATGTCAACAAATTATAGTGTTTTGTTTCCGCGTGTATTTTACAATCCTTTAACTGCAAAATATCTTATGGCAGCATCATCTTATTATTTAGTCGTTACTTCGTTCTGATATTAAGACAAAAGAAACAAAGAATGATGACTACGAATATGGTAACAATTTAGTGATATATATGATATTTAAAGTGCCTATATCAGGGTCAGGGAAATGACTTTTCCTGATAGTTTAGACGATTTTAAGAACATTTGCAATATATTCGACTAGACGAAAATTTGATCTTCATGGACGTTTTGGGCCTCAAAGTTGGTGATTTTTCGAATTACCGCGAGCTTGAAAGTACTGGTAACTAATCGGCGTTAACCCGCCGGAAGTGACGTAAGAATGAGAACACGCTAATCTTGCAAAGTATCATAACAATAAAACAGTATAGAATTTTAGTCCAAAATATCGTCCGATTTTTTCCGTTTAATAACATTTTGGGTTAACGTTTCGTTTAAACAATGTCGTCAAGTTTTTCCGACAATACGGACAACCAACTTGATTCGGATATGAATTAAAAATACCAAATTATATAATGAAAATCGAAGATGATGCAGTTCAGCCTCCCAGACAGCTCAACACAAAGCGATGAAGACCAGTGGCTTACAACCTTACCAAGGCGAACCGATTGCTGATCCAGCTTGGATAGCTCAATACAACGAAGAGAGACGTGCCGAAGAAGAGAGAAGACAGCTGCTTATGTCTCGCTTGAACGGAACTGTCCCCGTATCAAATTGGTAGGTGAAATGTATACACTATATGTGAGCTCAGAGACAGAGCTCGTGTTTACATGTCTGTGTAGACGCTACGGCGTATACGCAGGCTAGTGTTGACACTCATGTAAAAATATTTTCCTTTTTCGTTTGAGAAATCACAATGAATATTATATGGTGTTTCTTTTTATTTCAGGTGTACATGCGAACTATGTAAAGTCGATTTACTGGTAAATGAAAGAGGCTCAATGCTGCCAAGAAATCGAAGGCTGCTTAGAAGCGTTAGGGACAGAACTTGTTTTACAAGAAGTAGGTGCTGAGCCAAATTGCATAACGCTTCATCCAGGCTTTGGTTTGGTCTGTTTATCACCCTGGTCATTGCGTCTGGAGGGCGTAAATTTCGAAAAATAGATGGCAGGAAGTATAACGTGGAAGGTGATGAAAACAGACAAGACACATATATGTAATTATATATATATATATATATATATATATATATATATATATATATATATATATATATATATATATATATATATATATATATATATATATATATATATATATATATATTTATTAAACAATATAATATAGCCATTTTTAACCCTGATAAATCCCCACAATTTGTTATCAATCAGAAAATTTCATTTATATAAAACTATTACAAATATTACATGAAAAGTTTCTTATATTATAGGTATTTCCTAAGTGTTGCCTATAGAGAGTATATACAATTGGTTTATGGATACTTGGGAAAGAGAAGAATACCTTTACCAGCATGTGGTTATCATGCCATAAGACAAGCTTTTGGTCGAAAAGACTTCAAAGGTTTTGAGGATGATGAAGAGTTGGAATGATATCATCATAATAATATTATGCATCCAAAAGTGCCCACCCCCAGGGCTTCTGACATTTTAAATAAATCTTGTTAACCCATTAATCGCCAGCACTCTCCCCTTGACGAGTAAAATCGTCCGGCATTAGAAAGAGTAAAATAATAAAGTAGGGTGCATCAGGGCGCAATGCGACTCAATGGGTTAATTCCAAGATTGGTAAAAAAGTGGAAAGTTCCCCGAAGTGGGACTGATGTCCGAGGCATATCCCCCATTTGCAAACACTTGAAGTGAGATCAATACAAAAACTGATTTGGATTAATTTTATAAGGCCAAAAAATAATACCAGGGTTCCTGGTGTTTAGAGCTCACTGGTTTGTGATAGATGTATAAAACTCATAAAAATGAAATTAAAAAATTCAAAACCGACCTACTCTTCCTAGGTTTTTGTAACATATAGTAGGAAACCATGGTATTTTTTGGCCTAATTGATTTCAAATGCCTCACCACTGGGTTGAGGTTGGTTTTCAAATGACCCACCCCTGGGAAACATAAAATGAGCAAGTGCCTGTGGGGGGGGGGGTGCACTCTGGATTTGAACAATGCATAAAAAATTAATACATCTGTATAATTTAATCAGCTAGTATGTAGTTTGCAAATGAGTGTAATGTCAAATTTTTTTGTAATTATTTTTTATTACGAGGACAATCCTTAAAGTGCCAGGCATCAATGGTTGACTTTTCCAGACTTATTTCCCTCTGGACATCTTTTGTAGTTTCACATCGTCTCAACTTGAACCATTGTGCCAAACTCTTTCACTTCTACCAGCACATCAGGCTTCTTGCATGTTGCACAAGCTTTGAATAGTTCCAACGGTTGCGAGAGGAAGACAACAAACTTCGGTTCCATCATGAGGTTTTCATTATTAGCAAAAATGCTATAAGAATAAAGTTAAGAATATTATTCATTTAATTAAATAAACACAACACTTTGTACAGTATATATTGCCCAAAAACATTTTAAAAGTACTTTTTAATGATTGCATTCACTATTTGCACAACTTTTACCATATGTCACATTTTCATCCTCTGGCTCTGTATCACTTGAAACTGTTTTGTCCACCATCATTGGTTCTTCTTCTGTCTCTGTTTGAGAAGATGGCTCCAACAAATCACCATCATTGCTGTCATTTTCACTATCATTATCCCCAGCATCATCGACACTGTCTTCACTATCATCATGGGTTGTACTGATTGTGCCAACATCATGATCATCACAAAACTTTTCATCATCTATTAAGTTTATACATAAATTATTTAACAAATATAAAACATTTTCCATGCTGATATACAGTTATATCAACATGAGTGGAATAGGGAAAACAAGAAATTTTGTGGAAACACGAAATTTTGTGGAAACACGAACCCGAAGGGCGGAGTGTTTTCACACTTTTTCGAGTTTTCCCAATCAGTTCCACGAGTGTCTATAATATAGCACACAGAAATACAAAGAAAGAAATTTTCCGACTTTTCTGTGTTGACGTTGAGTTATATCAACATGGCTCTTAGCAAATCAGCATTCAGAATTTACAAATGCTATATTATAAAAGTAAATAAAACCATGCTCATAATTTTTTAATATTATAGTGAAATTAATGTGACTAAGTGATCAAAAATAATGATTGCTGACTTACAAAAATTTAATTTAGATTGGTAAAACTGTATTGTCTGCTTCAATCGCAGTAGCTCTTATTTCAGCTTTGTGCAATTTTTACAAGCAACTTCAACAGTTTGGCACCAACCATCTTTTGTATTTTCACGTGTGCTAGTCTAAAATAAAATAATATTAAGTAAATACAATAGTTTACAACTACCAACCTGGCAATTGCTTGGACAAATGTATCCTCTGTACCACTAGGCCCAGGCCATGTTGAGGGTTCATCTTGATCAGCCAATGTTGAAGTAGATGGTTCACCTTTGTCAGTATAAACTTCAGCCATTGTTGAGGTTTCACCTTGTTCAGTCGAGGTGGAGGGTTCACCTTCCTCTTTTAGCAATGTACTTGACCGCTTAGCATTTATTACCTGTTAGGTAATGAATACATATAATTTTAATGAATATATATAGCACGATTTATTATGCATTCTTATACAACATATTCACATTGAACGAAATTAAGGACTGACGACTGGCAATAGTAAAAACATAATTAATAAATGCATTACTTACAGAATATCGGCGATCTCTTGCGGATAAAGGTTTCATTTCATCGCCACCCAAGACTAAAATCGTCGGATACACGCAGATACCAAAGTTGTCTATCTTTGTAGCTGTTTCAATTTTGGTTTCTCAGTCGTCAAACCAACAGCGAATGGTCTCACAAAATCTTCGGCCATAAAATGTCTTGAGCATATCTTCGATGAAGCTGTTGGTTCGAAGTTCAGTCTCTTTCGTTTCACAAAGTCAACCTATCTTTTCCTTCGCTTTTTTTGCCTCTGGCCGACGGTCCTACTAAAGAATGCCCGGGAACGCCCGGGGAGATTCGTTGAATGCCCGGGAATGCCCGGGAATTGGGAAAGAATGCCCGGGGAAAATTACGTTCATAATTACGTTAGTTTATACTAATAAAATCACTTATTTTATGAAAGATGAAATAATTCTTGTAATATATGGCATTGCAAAGTACTGTTCACGGAATGTCCGGCTGTCACAAAAGAATGCCCGGGAGTCGAAAATGTATGCCCGGGGTAAAATTACGCAAGTAATTACGATAGTTAATGATAACATTAACAAGTCTTTTATTTTTTAATGAAAGTTTCTTGTAATATATGGCATTGCAAAAACTATTCACAGAATGCCTGGGGAAAATTACGTACCGCTAATGTCTTTTTCAAATCTACTCAGAATATATCACTATCAGTGAAATATATTTTCGGTAGTGTAAAAAGATGTTTCTTCATTATTATTTAGCATTACAAAGCCAAATAAATAATTTCTGTGAATAGTTTTTGCAATGCCATATATTACAAGAAACTTTCATTAAAAAATAAAAGACTCGTTAATGTTATCATTTATAACTATCGTAATTACTTGCGTAATTTTACTGCGGGCATTCATTTTCGACTCCCGGGCATTCTTTTGTGACGGCCGGACATTCCGTGAACAGTACTTTGCAATGCCATATATTACAAGAATTATTTAATTTTTCATAAAATAAGTGATTTTATGAACGTAACTTTCCCCGGGCATTCTTTCCCAACTCCCGGGCATTCAACGAATCTCCCTGTGCGTTCCCGGGCATTCTTTAGTAGGACCCGTCTGAACTACTTGAAAAAGATATCTCAAACGTGCCACTGAGTGTAGGTAGCATTCTACAATATAAAGCTGGCATGGTTTGCGTGTGAACTACATGAAAAATATGTCTTGAACGTGGTGGTCCAGTTTAGGTAGTATTCTACTTTAACCAATTGCATGAGAGCCTGGTTCTCACCCTGTTTAAAGTAAAATCATCAATACCTCGGTAATAAAGTAGGGTGCATTACGATGCAATGCAAATTAATTGGTTTTAAGATGCCATGCTTTCTGTTCGAGCTACGTGAAAAAATTAAAAACACTTTGACGTTTTGTGTAAGGGCCATTTACGTGTTGGCAAAAATGTAAGTTCACTATTCAAGAGGTCAGGGTGAAATCCTTGCTTGAATCATTTGAAGTGTTGAAAGGATTTAATTCAAGCTTTTTCTGGTAGTTCAAACACAAGCCAGGGTAGTAATTATACAGAACTACTCGATCATTATCTTTTTTATGTGATAAAACATATGGTATATTTATTTCAATGTTTTGAAACCTCTGTTTGTAGATTCAGAAGGATCTCGTCAACGTTTTCAAGTGGAACTGGAATTTGTTCAGTGCTTGGCAAATCCTCATTACCTGAATTGTAAGTGGCATTATTTATTTTCAAATCTGGAATTCAATCATACACAGCCCAGTGGCTAGGTATGTTAAAGACTCTGTACAGTACAAATAATGGTACAGTATGAATGGTATAGTACGAAAGGTACAATACAAATGGTACAGTACGATTGATACTGTACGATTGGTACAGTACAAATGGTACAGAACGAATGGTACAGTACAAATGATACAGTACAAATGGTACGGTATGAATGGTATAGTACGAATGATACAGTACGAATGGTACAGTACGAATGGTACAGTACAAATGGTACAGTACGAATGATACAGTATGAATGATACAGTACAAATGGTACAGTGCAAATGGTACAGTACAAATGGTACAGTGCAAATGGTACAGTACAAATGGTACAGTGAGTACAAGTGGTACAAAATTTGACTAGTTTGTAGTACAAACTAGTCGAAACCTGAGGATGACTACAAACTAGTCCTGAGGATGACTACAAACTAGTCGAAACGTTGATTAAAAATCAAAATGTTATTCAGAGTTACTGTTATTTTGTATTTTCTTAAAATTTTAAAATACTGAGTGGTTCCCATAATTATTGGTCAAATGGTACAGTACGAATGATACAGTACGAATGGTACAGTACAAATGATACAGTACGAATGGTACAGTACAAATTGTACAGTACGAATGGTACAGTACAAATGTAGTCGCATTCCTAAACATTTTGTCACAAAAACATGACACATATGGGCGAGAGAGAAGGTATCTGCTGTAAATGACACAAAAAAAATTGCTGATTATATAGCAGCATTTATTGAAGTGCTTTTAATGCTGTGTTACACTGACATGCATGAATTACATTTAGATTGTGAAATAAAAACTGATTACATAGATAATTATCAACTATTACGATGCTTATTACTTTTGATTATATTTTGCATGTGCTTAAGTTATTGGGTATAATTGCACATGACGTCACAGCGCCGGTGACGATGCATAATATAACTTTTAGCAATCTATGCATAATATAACTTTTATAAACAAAGCAAATTTTGTAAAACTTCATAATAATTTTGTATTAAAATGGTTAATTTTTGCACTGT